ATTGGAGTACCCATTTTCAAAAACCTTTCTGACTACTTCCTTTCTTCTCATGCAATATATATTTATGCACACACATACACACACACACTACACACATACACACACACACACACACACACACACACACACACAGATTATATTCATTCTGACGTAGGCACAGAACAACTATAATAAAAATACGTCGAAATGTTTATGAAGGATAGGATAAGTATAAGTGGATGCCCTGTTTAGAACTGGCCCACCCATTACGTATTTCGGGCCCTGGTTCTTAGATAGAGTCATTTTCCCCACTTTCCTCTCTCACTAATTATTCCCCATCTCAACCATAATTTCAAAAATCTGATCAATTTCTACCCTAAGTTGAAGCCACGCTAGTTTTAATCAATATTAAAGAACTGGTGATTTTAAGTCTTATTTAGGTGAAACATCCATGAACATAACATCAAGATCACTATGAGGTGAAGATTTCACAGACAGTTACCCCCTGCGCTCTAGCAATCTTACGAGAAGAAGAAGATCAAGAGCTAAACGTTTATGTCTCACCCATGTCTCCATCTATCCTCAGTTCGACGCTGGTGAGGCTCTCTTTGTGCCAAATGCGCCCAACGTGTTTGGTCACATGATTTCTACCAACGAGTATGCCACCAACTATGCCGAAATGGCCTACAATGTCGACCCAGTGAACAGAAGGCAAGAGGTTCGAATCGGCTGGCGTTCACAGAGGCTGCCTATCATAACTCGGTTGATGGACAGACTGTCCACATGGGACGAAAAAGGAGGACTGCGGTCGCTCATTCCATCCACACTGACGTTTAGCGTCATAGGATACCCGTTTGTGTTGCCTGACATGATCGGTGGAAATGCGTACGCCGATTTGGAGACATTTGCGCGTGGTGCCAACCCCGACCGAGAGCTGTATATCCGATGGCTTCAGCTCAGCGCACTTTTACCAGTCGTACAGTTTTCTGTCGTACCTTGGGTCTATGACGACGAAGTTGTCGCCATCACGAAGAAATGTCTCGCCATCCGCGAGCAATATGTATCAAGGATTCTTCAGCTGGCTCAGGAGTGTGTGGAAACGGGGAACCCGATTATTCGTCCGTTATGGTGGGTTGCTCCCCTTGATGAGCAGGCATTGGTGACGGGAGATGAGTTTCTCGTTGGGGACGATCTTCTTGTTGCTCCGATTGTCGTAGAAGGTGCAAGGAAGAGAGACATTTACCTTCCTAAAGGACAATGGAGGGATATGCTGAGGGGGGAAGCCATTGACGGCCCTATGTTTCTTAGGGACTATGCTGTCGCTATTGATGAACTCGCTCACTTTGAGAGAATAACAAGCTAGTTGTTTTGTATGTAGAGAGAACTTCTGAATAAATTATTGGCACGGAGTTGTGGGACCAAATACATAGCTGCCAAGCAGTACGCTGAGAAAAGGGAACTCATTGCATTGTTGTTGAGATCTGAGTAAGAAAGTCTGGTTCTTTTTTGTGTTTTAAAACATATGTCTTCTCTGTTTTCAAGTATCGTTCCTCAGGGAATTGCCAAAGCTGACGCAAAAATAATATAATTTTTTTTGGGAAAAGGATTTGAGAATGGTAATTTAATGTGAACGAAGCCCATAGGTCAATTGAAGATATCTTTTGCGGCAGTTTAACTTTGAATGGCTCGCAACTACTGGATGCAGAAAAGTGTGTGTGAAGGGTTTGAATATTTTTCAGGTGGGGGCTGCTTGTTGGTTTCTTTGTCAATGCACACCATCTTCATGTATGACGTGGTTAAAGTCTGGGTTTTTTAAAATCTTTTGTTTTTGAAAAGTCAGCAGCCATGCACGTAGAGGAACAAGCCTTCATAAGTTACTGGGATATTTTATACGACATTTGATTTTCTTGCATCCTTCCCTAGGGGTATTTGCCTTCTCTAGTATTCCCTTGACTGGAAAGCCATGCTCCCGTGTCAGTTCCCCCAGCAACGTGTGGCTTTGACAGTCATTGACTCTTTGGTCAATATCTCTTAGTCTTGCCTCATTTACCTTGTTTAGATTGTAAGGCTATATAGTATTGTGAGGCATCGTGGTGAAATTAGGTGCCCGTCAAAGCAATGAAATTAAATTTTTTAAAAACCGGCAGTTTTCCCGTCGATTTGGCAA